CGTATCCGCTTAATGTAATATCAGATAACATCTCTCTCTCTCTGTTTCTCTGCAAAATGGGGAAACGGGGAAAACCGCGGTATGAACCGAACCATGGCTCAAAAATCGAGGTCTGAACCAAACCGTGGATTTGGTGAATCGTTACACCCTTACTGGACACTCATAAGTGGAGCCTGGAAATGAACTAGAAGGGGCACTCAGACAGCGCAGAAGTCCACGAGGACAAATATTCCAGTCTTCTATGATACAGGTTTGCACAGGTCCGAAATCTGGAATTCTGTGATAGTCCGGAAAAATCACATCCCTGATTCTTATTTCTTACATACGTTCTGTATTTGTTTGAGGACTTATTATGAATTGTGTTCATTTTGCCATAGACACCGGCGTTACAGTTGACCTATCTCGTAATGTTAACTAAAGTAGAAGAACAAATCATTATGACACATCGCGTTCTGCCAAATGTCACTGTCCATTGTGCAGTGAAAACCCCCCTAAAATATTGTATATTACAGTACATGTACTTTAAACACGATATCATAAAACTTCATTATCTGTTTTTGTGCTGCACACACACTCAGGGCCTGCACTGTGGGCCTCTCCGTGCCTCCAGAAGTTGAGTCATTAATCGTGACCGAGTGGGATTACTTAAAACCAGTATGTGGTCTTATGAATGCTCAAACTATGAAAGGGGGCTGCTGCATGTTCTTAGCTGGAAAAAGTGAAGTATACTCAATATGAAATGACACTACAAACGAAACATTCATATAATCTTTTTACTGTTTCAGAGCACTCTTTCCGCTTTTTTTTCTCTTCCTGACACAGTCGCGGCCTGAATTTTGACACTGGCATTAATAGAATGCTAAGAAGATCGCTGCTTAAGCCAGCTGTCATAATGTTACATGCTGCTTTTAGTAAACGTTAGACCTTTAACATGTCTGGGAAAAAGTTTTGTGAAGAGAAACATCAGACATCGATTTAAAGATTAGGGGGAAAAAAATTGTGAAAAGTGGCTATTTTTTCCTGCTGATCAGTCTTTGTGTTAGTCTTTTATCCGTGTGAAGTGCTTAAACACAGCTTCTTTTCCCTCTCTGATGTACGAATGTAGAGTTGATAAGCCTCAAGTCAGCTTTAATATCTACGACTGGAGCTAAAGCATAGTACATCACAACAGCAATATTTTGGTTGAGCGAGACACTTATGACCAGTCAGGTGATCACTCAATTACAAGGGAGAAAATTGGATACAAAGACATAAAATAACAGTGACACAATCATTTTGTCTCTATGTGAAAGCTTATTAGTGTGTGTTGGCTCAAACAACTTATTTTATCTCAGGGCCATATTCAAGTTCTTTGGTAAGTACTTGCTCAGTGTGTGTCCTTGCAACCTCCATAACCGTCCCTCTAGTGCCCTCCCAATAAGTCAAGCATGAAATGTAGGCAGGACAACAGAGGCCAGACAACAGCGAAGACAAATAGCACTGTATCCATTAACTTGTCAGCATCATAGACAAATGAACTCTCCTTCAATTATTAATGGGATTAAAGAACATCTGCACTGACAATAAATAGCCCAATCAAGTTCCACAAACATGAGAAAAATAAAAACAGCAGCCAATGTCACTACAGCAGTGGGGGAAGGCTTTTGTAGAAAGATTGATTCCTATGTTCTGATATACCATTTTTCATTTCCTTATGTGTGGGTTGTCGTCCAATGAGTTGCTTTGATTCCTTTGGATATCATGGCTGCTGTTCTGACAGAGGTCTGACCTCTCTCGACTGATTGAAGACTATGCCATTTAAAACCAGAGTGAAGGTTGCAAGTCATTGTTATTAAAAGTCACCTGTACATCAACTATAACCTTCAGTGGCCCTTGAATGTAATGAGCTTTTAAATAGATTGCTATCATCTGCATTCATTTAACATCTCCCATTAATATCCCCAAACTCTTTGCAAAAACAAGCTCTAGCTTTTATCTATTCAGCATAGTTGATACCAGGTGACTTGGAATAACTTCATTACAGTGAACCAGGAACAATTCATCAATTGAATTAGTCATATATAGTGTCTCAATGGGTATAAAGGGATTTTTAAACCTTTGCAGAAAAGGTCAATACAAGGGCTGCAACTAATGATAAGTTCAGTTATTGATTAATCTGACAATTATTTTCTCAATTCATTGTTTTTTCTTTAAAATGAAAACAGAGAAGTGCGGGCTACAACTTCCCAAAGCTTAAGGTGATAAATTCAAATGGCTTGTTTTCTTTGACCAACAGTTATGACAAAGAAAAGCAGCAAATCATCACATATTAGATTCTTTAACCAGCAAATGTTTGGAATTTTTACTTTAAAAACTGACAAACAACGATAAATTGATGATCAAAGTTTAGCTGTGTCATTTTCTGTCATTTGACTTATCAATGAATCACCTAATTGCTACAGCTCTAGCCAATACTGTACTGCTGCAGTCATTTGTTTACAGATGTGTGATCATATATCTGCAGTGATCAATAACTCATGACAATTATAGCCCACTGTGCATATACTGTAGGAACATGTAAGTGAATTAGTCTGCACTGCGTTCCACGGTCCCATGATATCCCAAGCAGTGTTAAGTTACATCCAGCCAACATTTCCATCCCTCTCATTTCCATCCAGGTCGATTGTTTATCCAAATGCACCAGATGCTGCAAGCAAGAAAGTAGCCTTCTGTCAGTCTTTGCCTGAAGTGTTAAACCGACGAATCCACAGTCTGTGAGCATGATGAGCAACTGATCGAACCGATCTAAACCTGAAATCACTCCAGAAATGACAATTCTTCAACTGTGTTGGATGAGTAAAATCTTTGAGTGAAATGAACAGTGATCAACAATATTAACACTCATCATGATTCAATAGCAGAAAATCACGTCGCCTCTCCAGATGGCTTTCCATTTGCCTAAAAGGCTCTAATTGCGCAGCCATTACAACAAGTCTGAGACTAAAATTAAGATGCATAAAATTCATTAGGACTGACTCTCTAAACAAGGACAATAGCATCTTACATTTCCACACAGAGGGGTCCAATGGTGCGGTCATGTGCTTTTGTCCAGGCAGACAGGCAGAATTCCAAACAATGTGTGAGAGTCAGCACCAGTAACCAACCAGAGGAAGTGATGTATCGCACACTGACTTGGAACAATGCAGACTGTTTTACCTGAAGGCGAATGCCTCTACCCCATCAATTTGTTTCAGTGGACAGAGGGACCCTGTGACATCCTCAATAGAGTGTTTGTTAGCTGCTGTCCCTGAAGACACCTGCTACCTTTGAGCAACGGGGAAACATTAAGAATAATGTGCCTTTTGTACAGTTACAAAAAGATTTCTAATCATCACAAGGCAATCCTTCTATCGCTTTCTTTGTGGTCGGGAGTTTGAATGCTGTTGGAGCTATGAGCCCCTTTTTCAGGCTGACTCTGGGACTCTTTGGAAAAAGGAAAAAACATCCCAGAGCAGTTACGTTGCTAAAATAGCTACCAGGGTGACCACTGTAGCTCTAAGGATGCTCACTCACAGATCAGATATTGTTAACACCCTCTATGCACCTCCATCTGTTCCTAAAACCAGGTCCTCACTGAGGATGAGGTTACAGCTGTAACAGATGGACAAAAATCCCTTTACAATACAACAAATTTAACTGGGATATGATTAATTGAGGGACAAGTTCAGGGTGTATTTTTAACTCACTGAGCCTTGAAACAAGTCGACCCACAGGCACCACGGCTCCCTGCTTCTTCTCTGCATTCATTATGCCAGTCTACCAGGGAGTATTACATCTTGTAACGGCTGACTCTGAGTTGACACTGCGAGGCGTAAGTAGCCTTAGAAAGTCTGCTTAAGGCACTCTCCTGGTGTAAAGACAGAGGGCTGTCTGACATGTGTGACTCCTGAGGCAAGCATGTTGCTAAATGAATACAGACAGGGAGGATGACGTGACCCACTTCCATAAGGGCTATATTGCTTTCCTTACACAAATCCCATACTGCTCTGCACTGTTCATGGGGGGAAAAAATACAGCAGGCAAAAGCTTAAATATTCCCATCACCAGAAAACTGGAAGGGCAGAGGAAAAAGAGGAGAAAGAGGAGGGTGTGAAATAATTTGAACGCAGATCCAGTGGGTCAGGTGAATGTATACGCTTTCAACAATCTCCTGGCTACATGAGGCAGTCTTTTTTGGTAAGACTACATTAGAGTTGCAATGCACAATTGACCTTCTCCCTGTAACATCCTAGTCAATAATGGTACCGCGATGCAACCAATACAGGCGGCTCTCTAACATATCTCCTCTAAGTGATAGCATCTAGGTCTGTCTGAAGCCCACATGCCTGAAATCTTTCCATTTATCTTTTATTCCTAATCCAGTTTGTTAAAGAAGGGAAAGTGACGTCCTTTCTGTCTTAATCGATCTGGACGCACGGCTTCTTTGTATCCTGTGTAAGCATCACAGAGGAGAAGATTATCACTGTGAGGGCGCACAAAACACTGGAGAAGTGCACATTTCTACCTTAAATGTGCGCGCCCGATGCACAGACTGATTTGGCCCCTTATCACAGAGAAATTACGCACGGATAAAAAAAAATAAAAAACAGGAATGATCTGTTTCTTTCACTCAAACAAGTGGCCTTTAAACACAAGTGAACCAGCCGTGCACTGATTAAGCCGTAGTTTTTCTATTGCCAAACCGTGCTGACAGGCTTTTTCCGCAAACAACACAGGCTCTCATAGACGCACATTAAATTTTGCTCTGCTATTCATGTGGGCTCCCCCGTTTAAAAAAAAAAATCAATTGACTTGGTCACTTTAAACGTGTAGGCGAAAGATGCTGGATTGATCAGTTTGTGGCACTCCCACGCTAAAGGGCTGGTCGTGTTAGAAATGTTTTGACAGCGATAATGACAGCCAGTCACTTTTCCACTCACCTTTCACACGCTGCGGGACAGCGGCGCTCAAACACAGGGCGATGGAAAGGAGTAGCGGTCCCATCCTCTCTCACGATGAACAGGTCTGACTCCCAAGGTTACGGAGACGGCGGTTAAAAATCGCGGAGCAATAGCCAAAAGTTCTCCCTCCTGCGCTCTCTCTGGGCTGTAGGATTTGCCCTAAGAGGCGTTGTTATATGTCCTGACAGGTAAAGTCCTCCTCTGTGATAAAGTCGGCAAAGAGATACACTCGCCACCTGGATGTTTGTTTGCTTTTTCCTTCGTGCAGGAGCAAGTGAAGTGCGCCTGCAGGGTCCCCGTCCGCTGCTGCCTTCCGCGCTCCTACCGCAGTGGTGCGATGTAGTGGAGAGAGCGACGTGTGCGCTCAACGCTCCCGGACAACTGCTGTCAAACGTCCGTGAGTGAGGTGAATCACCACTTCCGGCTACGACTTCCAAAATAAAACATATAATGAATTATTATTTTATTAAATTGAAATAGGCTGCATTTGATTCCAAAAAAAAAAGGGTTAATGCATTGTATTTTACGGGTTGTATTTTATTTTAAATTATTTGTCAGTGCATCAAATGAGCTGCGAGGGCTTCTGCAAATTTCACTAATAACCTATAATGCACTTTTTAAAATGTAATGACATATATAAATCTATGCGTTTTATGCGTGCACTCCGTATTTCTTTTTTTTTCTTTTTTTTCAAAGTAGAGAAAGAAGGGCGGGGGGGGGGGGGTTTGTACGGAAGCGGGGGATCTGACATCCCGGCCAGGCGGTGCACACTGACGCAGCTTCAAGGACAATCCGTTTGGCTCGCTGGAGGATGTGCGCTTCACGGTCGGTCACAGTAAACCGACTGGGGCGCTGTCTCGCTGGTGGAGACTGCTCTTCCTCCTCCTCCTCTTCCCCCTCATCCCCCTCCTCCTGAAGAGCACTTCCAAAAACCCCTGCCGGCTCGGGACTTTAAATTGTGTATAATCAGCCTCTTCAGCCTTTCCTTAACCTCTTTTTTTTTTTTTTTTTACTCCCCATGGCTTCCGTTTCAAGCCCGGGGAAGTTGGATAGCAGTTCAAGTACCCTTTCTCTGGAAAGCCTTGTTGAGTTTTAATGCGCAGATCTTGAACCAGAATTCCAACCCAAATGATTAAAGTAGGAGATTCTGTAATGTCAATAGGGTATGGTAATACAGTGCGTCGCTTAAGAAAAGTCACTTATGAACAACATAGGAACAAAATATTATCTGTTGTTCCTGAAATATACAGGCGTGCTGCTATGGTCACTAAAACATGATGTGATAACAACTTTGATTTCAAAGATATAAAATGTGTGCCCACGCTGCGACATGCTTATGATGACTCCATGAATGACAGGAGAAACAATGGAGACAATTCCATGGCCTGCACCACCATATACTCCTGTTTAAAAGTCACTTCAGCTCCTTAGAGAAATGAAACATGATCTTACGATCTTACTGAAAGGTTCATCCTGATGACCAGCTTGGGATTTCATCCATCCATCCATTCAGTCACCACTGACAAGGCACTGATGAAGCCAGAATG